TAATTGGTTAGGATTTAAGATTTAAGTAATGGGTTTTTGGGGATAATGGCATAGTTAAATAGATAAAATTGAGGGAAATAACTGAGTAAAATATTAAGTTGTGTTAATCAAAAATTAAGATTTGCTAGTGATTTGTATTAATTTGTGACCGGATCAAAAGCTTTGTTTTGAAAAAATGTGTTTTATGTTTATGTTTTTAAAAAAATAATAAAAAACTTTTTAAAAAAACAATCCAATTTCCTGCATAGATATTGCTTCTCACTACTAGAACAGTTTTCTTTGTCATTAAAATTCTATAAGTAATCACAGCTGCTGTTCCTCCTTGACTTGTCCTTAGCACTGTGGCTACTGCAGGCCCTGAAATCTTGCTGATAAATAGTAAGGAAAGTGCTAAATTATAGTAATCTTAAGCAATTTGGAGAAGCAGGATGTGGAATTTTATATTATGCATAAATTACTTTTCCACTCTAATTCAGATGCACAACTTCCCCAATAGGAACACTTGATGGATATAATTTGATTACATGTATAGTGCTTACTGATGTTTGTTTCACATGTATATTAGATTTGTGCTGCTGCCATACACAGAAGAAGAGATATATATCTTGGGGCAAAATGAACTCTTAGCAGTACAGGAGGAAAGATTACCTCCTCTCCACACAATGGAGATGGTGCTTTTCTTGATTGAATTTGTGATAGAAAGTTAAAAGAAAGACTTGCATTATTTGATATAATCATTGGTACTTTCCTCGCCCTAAGTTCTCAGAAACTGAGCCTTTTAAAGTGAAGTGAAGTGAAGGGAGTTTTAAGAATTGCCCACTAAAAGAGTTTTACTGACAAACCTGGATGTAGGTCATGGTTTGCAAAATATTATATGCACTGAGCCGTAAGCGGCCGTGGTGGCAGCCACAAACCATTTGAGCTTTGGGGATATCTGAGTAACAACTGGCTTGAGGGCCTTCCGTGCTGCTGGGTTATTTCCACCCATCCTCAAGTTGGCCCCAAATTACACCAACATGACATTTGTGGCTCTAATTGCCTTCCCTGCATTGCCTGTATGGCATTCTATTCCACTCCACTGCATAACTTCTCAGGATGTAAAAAGAGATGGTGGGAGATTTGGAAATCCCCCTATCGCTTAATGGTCAGAGTAAGAAACTTAGAAAAGACTTTGCCCCTTATGGATCAAGCAGATAAAAGTGGTGGTGGGATGTTTGTACTTTCAGACTTGCAAGGTTTTGTTAATGTAACTTTACAATAGAATAGCTCATCTATTATTGCTTCTGTCTGGTCTATTTGGGAAGGCTGATATCAATTTTGCAGACTTGATAGTACAAATCTCTCACCATCTCTTTTACAGCCTGAGAAGTGGGGGGTAGGGGAGGGTTTCCTTCTGAGATTCTTTATCCATTATGTAACTGCAGGCTATGCCTTCTCTCCCTGTAATCAGATCTTATCTGATCATTCCCCAGGCAGCATCTTTCTCTCCCCTCCCCAGGTCTCCCAAGGTCCCTTCCAACTCTGTTACTGTAACTGCAACAAACCATTACAGGCAGAGGGTGCAGTCTGAAATGAGGTTATTTTCCCACCCACCTCCTCCTAATTACTAGCCTGTTTCTGACATAAATCAGTGAAAGGCAACAGCTTTTAAAGCCTCAATGGATGGTGTCCATTTAAGGATGGAAATAGAAGTTATAACCCTGACACAGATATACCTGTTTCACTCTGAGATTTTTGCATTGTGGTTAAGTGCAAATGGGGAAAAGCTCTAAGCCAAAGAGAGAGTGGTTTTCATGTACTTGAAAGCACTCTGTATTTTCAGTGATTCTTCAGGTTTCACTCATCTTCGTGAACATTCAGTGTAAGAACTATTGAATGCTGCTGGAGGAGTAAACTCTAGGTTCAACCCGAAGCTGCAGGTTAATGTCCTGGAATTTAATTTGTTCCTCTCACAAGGGCCTGTATTCAGTAAATGAAGCTCATTGGGACTGACTTTCTACCACACTAGACAATGCTGCTAAAACTGAGCAGATGGTTTTGGTTCAGGTTACAGAAATGTTGCCGTTTTCCATCTACCACCCTTCTCTTCAACACACTCCAGCCAGCCAAGCATTGCAGGCCACAGGAAATCCTTTCTGTAATGCTATCGAGCCCCTGTGGTGCGGTTTGACTAAAGGAAGCAAGTGTGAGGCACAGCAGAAGCCATGTGAACCTATATAATAACGTTGCAAACATCTATTGCCACCACTTTTCTATTTATCTCCTAATTATTATTTGTTCTTCATCTACGATTATCCAGAAACCTTTCTCCCACTATACATAATAAGAAGAGTTATATTATTCTCAGTTTTACTTTAATTCCCTAGCATTAAAAAAGTAGCATCTTCCACTGAGGCAGACAGCCTGCGATCTCCAGGGGGGTTGCTGCACCAGGAGATAAATTTTTTGATAAAGATACTACAATAGAGATTAAAGAGCTACTGAAAAGTCAAGGAATCTAGTGTCAGGGAGTTTTTCAGAGATGTGAAAGTGGTTCTTCTGAGAGAGGCACATGTATGCATGTGTATCTTTTGACCAGAGTTGGCAAATAATTTATGAAATAAGAGAAAATGAGGCCTAACTGGCTTATGCCATCTCAACATCTTTTGCCATCCCTGCTTCTTCAACTGAACTTTGCTCAGCACTGCATGACCACACCATCTAGATAGCTTTCGCAAAAGCATATTTGTTTATTTTAGACAAAATAAGACAAAACCAGCCTTTCAATTCCAAAACAAAAAAATAAGGCTATTTATTATACAGATGAAAAGCCTATAGTATCAAATCATAGCAATATTGCAATAAAACACAAAAGAACAGGAAGTAACCGAATATCAGTCAACCAACTATAGCAGCAGGATGCCAAGCTTAACTCTACAAAAAGCCTGGAAGATAAGAGGCCTCAACCAATCTTTCAAAAGTGAAAGCTAGGGAGCCAACAAAACTTTCCAGGGCTTGGTCCTACTAGTGAGATTATCCCAGAATGACTGCAGAGAATGTTTTTTAAAAAAAGATTATGCTGCAACTGCATGATCAAAATCTTACCCCATTTTTACACGCTACACAGATAAAAAAGGACTTCATTCGGCTGTTGACATTTTGGATCTTCCTTCTGCTGCCCCACAGACACTCCTGCCAGCTAACCTATGTCCTGCAAGGCCAAGAGGCAATGAGGAAAGTCTCCATCTAAACTGATGAAAGCTTTAAAAGTAATACAAGAACTTTGTTGGGAAATAATCTGGAAACCAGTATAACTTAAACAAGGTGCAATATGGCGTGGACACATCCCTGGCTCCCATATTCTATCATAGCTCTAGTTTTCAAGTCCTATTTCAGAGCAGTCCCACAAACAATATATTTTGACACATTAATCTTTGGAATTTTATTTTATCACACACATACTGTAGCTGTTCCATTAAAATTGCTTGGTGCCCTTCTTTGAGAGCCTGGTTTACGCCAATGTATAATTATCCCATTCAATACAGGATTGGGAATTAATCCATTTCCTTCTTATTTAATAAAAGGCTGAATGATTTCTTTGAGCACTAGAGCAGAGGTAATTTTGATTAGAGAAGTTTTACTTTTAATCATTTCTTCAGTATTAAGGTAGCCATCCATATATATTTCAAAAAGTATCACACCTTCTGCTCTCAATAATATTTGAATGCTTCTGTTTTGTTATATAATCCTCTTTTCCTTAAGGGATATAAATGTAATCAAATCTGATTGATCACATGGTTTGGCAGGATTTGCCCTGTTTAGTACAAAATCCCTGATTGGGTAGTATGAGCCAGTGACTAATCCAGGAAATGCTGCCCTATTTGGGCATTACAGTAGTAGCACGATCATATGGTCCAATATCATTATATGGATATTCCTATGTTAATGCAGCAACTGTGCAGAAGGAAAAACAGCTAGGCACTCATAGAAGAGAATGGTTAATATAACCCTTCAAAGGTCTTTTGGTAGGAGATGAGGGAGAAGCATCAGAGAATAAATAAAGCCTGAAGGCTGATAGTGGCAATGTCTATCCAAGTACTAAATGGCTTCCTGAGCTCTGACCAAAGCCAATAATAAAGGAATGGCTTTATTCCTGACTACAGGACCCATGTCATAGTCAGAAAGCTGCCCAGTCATTCAAGCTTAGCTTACATTTGACATTTCACTGCAATGATAAGCAACAGTGCACCAGCACAGGAAGCTCCTTGGCTCAACAATGCTGTGTCAGTGTAACTATAAAATGGCATTTTGGAATGTGCTGGGTAGACTGTTCAAGATGAAGTGACTCATGAGTAAGCCTCCAAAATCTTGATCCTAAATTTAGGGGCCTCTCTCCACTGCTGAGTTGAAGTGCTGCCCATCCATCTAAGTTCCCCCAGGCAGAACTTGTCTCTGCTCAGAGTCCATCCCTGTCCTGCCTCTATTACTTTTGTTTCCACTCACGGGTAGTTCCCTGACTTCACTCCAAGGGTGACAAAATCTCAAGGGCTGTCCTCTGGAAGGGTCAAGATAAGAGAGGAAAATATCATTCCGAGGCTTTCTCAGTGCTGGGCTGCTGAGAACAAGACAAAGTTAACTTCATGGGAACAAGGCAGAACATAGAGACTGCCATGGCAAGTTTATGCTGTAGGTGGGTGCAAGTGGGGAAAGGCTCCTGTATATACAGCAGCTTTTCAGAGACCATGAGGTGATACATTGTCATTTTCTTTGTCCACCATGACTCCTTATCAGACTGACTTTGCAGGATTTGACAGCATTTCAAATAATAATGTATAAAAATAGTTACCCCCCCCCAAAGAAGTGCACCTATTACCTAAAACAGCCATACACTTGGGATGCCAGTCATGGGTGACTAATTGACAGCTCAATCAAAGAAATGTCAGCTAGTTCTTTGAAGAAATAGAAGAAGTTCACCTATGTCCTCCCCCCCCACACCTCCCACACCAAATATTTTCTCACCCTTTTTTATTTTGATCATGGCCAACCAACAGTTTATCAAACAACTTTTTTTTCTAAAAAATGAGCAGACCTCTTGCCCTCCTTCAACATATTTGAAAAACATCTGAAGCAACATTGAGAGATGACCCCACTACAGTACAAAGAAGGAGCCCTCCTCATTGCTCAACTAAAATCAAGTCTATGTGCAACCTTAAAGCCTTTAGATCATGAAGGTGCCGAATTGTGATACTGAATCATCCTTGTACAACAACAGCTCCTTGTTTGTTACTTTGATGAACACTTCTTCCTCCTCTTCTAGATACACTATCCCAGCAAGGAAGCTATTGCCGTGCCACTGTTCACTGTCCTTAGAGTTGCAATAGGTAATGTAGTTGGTCAGAAGTAATAGCTCCTTAGGATACCGAGATGTCCTTTTGTAAATGCTGTGGGTGAAAAGGGAATTTCTCTGGTGTTTGGTTAGACAGCTTGAATATGCCAAGCTGAGCTTGGAATAGATGTAGTAGTAGCCAGACTTGTTGCAAATCAGTGAACCAGCTTTGTAGTCCATGTCATGCAAAAAGGCAAACCCGTTCTGATGTTCCCACTGCAGGACTCCATCTATAATTGCAGTGTCAGGGGGTTCTGGAAAACACAACCAACCTTGTTTCATAGATGGGCAGAGAGGTAAGCAAACAATTTTCATAGAATCTTCACTAATAGATCAGCAATGAAAACTAATTTTAACAATCTGGCTTCAAAACACACACATAGAGAACACTGAACATTGGCGAATCATTGCCTCAAATTAAGCTGAAACTTCATTTTGGGATGGGAAAGGGCAGTGAGCTCTGAGCTTTACCTCCCTCACCCACACAGCCAGGTTCATTTCAACATAATATCCTCATATATAGATGCTGTTTTGCTGTAGGTATGAGACATCCACCCTCAGCTATGGTGCTCACTGGGTGATTTTAGTAGATAATTCCTCTCTCATTCTTAGTGTACCCTCCATCACAAGGAATAAATTGAAGGAGGGAGTACCATCTTACTCTCCTGGAAGGAAAGTGGAAGAGAAATCTAACAGTGAAATAAATGACAATCAGAATGCCTGAGTTAGCTTTGCAGGTGTCTAAAGCAGTGTTCCTCAATCTCAGCAGTTTTAAGATGTGTGGATTTCAACTCCCAGAATCTGCCAGTCAGGTCTCAAGGATTCTGTCTTATTCACAAGCAGCTTCCATGCATTTAAAAGATAAATAGAAATACAGCTTTATAAAAAGATTTCCTACCTAGTGTCAGATGAGCAGATGGTCTTTTGAGAGGAAGCTTGGGTGGAGCTGTTAAAAGGAATAAGATGAAACTGATTGTTATCAAAACAGGTACCAGCTTGAGAAGGCTCTATACAAACTCAATGCAAGCTAATGAAGGCATATTTCAAACACTGCAAATGATAGAATGCAATTATATATTGAAAAATAAAATACACTAATTATATGCACTAAAACTATCAATAACATAAAACTCCCTTTCAGGTAGAGTCTGGGTGACTGGATGGAGCTGAGTATTTACTGGCTGGATGCCCTTCCTGACACCTATGTGGAATTGCAGCAGATATTTTTTTTCTGTGTGCCCTAGGAGAGAAACATAGGATTGAACCTATCCTAGGATTGAACTTTAAACTTTTTGAGTGGGAGGCAAGTGTCTTCTAGGATCATCTTTAATTGTCCTATAATTTGGGAGCAAGAGATGATGTTCTCTTCCTGCATTTGTTAACTAGACTTTGAAGAGTAGGAGCATCTATGGACCTGGTACCAAGACAGGTGCAGAATGGAAAATGTAGTCATTCAGATAATCAGGTCCTGCTGAATCAATGTCAGGGCCTTAAATTGTGCATGGCAAAGGATGGCAATCTAGGTATATTCCTCCCAGAATTGATGGGAATTAAAGAACAGCATCATGTTTCTCTTTCCCATTCAATTGGGCCAACCAAGGTAACTGTCAAGTAATTTTTGATAAAATTGCATGGCCTGGCTAGACAAATTGTGTTTATTGATGTTTCAGTTGCTCATTCAGTCTTTACTGGTCTGTGTGTGTTCAGAAGTTTTGAGATTACAACTCCCAGAATTCCAATAGTTATGCTATTTGAAGGTCATATTTCATTGGGGAGATCTGGTGGGAAAAATAATTCTCGAATAATAATTCTTGTGGCTTCTTTGGTAATAGACATTTCTTGTTTTTATTCTTTCCACTGCTGTTTCTATCAAGATGTATACTGTACATCTTTTTTATAGATCCTCCACACTCCCACAGTGTCTCACCCACAGCATTTCTCCATGCTTATAATAGGTTACTATGAATTGTTCCACTAATACATTATTCCCTTAAGGTGTGGAAAAATTGACACAGTATGCAACCAGAAGTATAACTGAGAGGGTGGATAATGGAAGGTGTTAGTTTAAAGACTTGATTTGATTTTTTTTTTTTTACTCACCCAAGGAAATATAGAGTTGCTATTGTATTGAGTCTTATCATGTAGTGAAAACCCAATTAAGATTTGACTCTAGTTCCCTAATCAAGTGATTTTCTTCTTCTTCTTAATTGTCTATGGGGATTCTCAATCATCCAGGTCGTGGTTTTCCCAAATGTGCTGTTTCCAAAAGGCAACTGGATTTTCTTGGTTTTATTTTTTCTTTTGAAAGCTTTTTATAGAAAGCTTATTTGAAAGCTTATTATTCTGATAATAATGAACTGAAGAAGCTTCTTGGTTGAGAAGCAAAATGTTTTCAAAGGGTGGGGGGACTCAAGACAGTCCAGTTGCTTTTTGGAAAAAGCACCTTTGGTACAGTTTTCTTCCTAGTGTTTTCCTGCAAGTGCAGTATGCTTTTTTTTAAATCATCTGAGTGCTGATCCATTGTTTGTGACAGGATTTGACCAACCAGCTTGTTGCCAAGCCTGGCATCATGGGCAGAGAGAAAGGGATTGACTTAAGGTTACCCAGCCGGCTTGCATGATAAAGTGAGATTAGAACTCACAGTCTCCTGGTTTCTAGCCTGGTGCCTTAATCACTAAACCAAACTGGCTCTCAATTAGCCTAATAATGTGAACTATAGCTCACAAAAGTTTATGCCAGAATAACACTGGTCGTTTATAAAGTACCACAAAACTCTTCATTGTTCTCTGTGTTTTGCCACTAGGTGCTCTTGCAAAAGAGCTAAAAAAGGGCCATTAAAGGGGCATTCATCAGTAATCTTCCAGCCCTCAACAAACCTGACTCTAAGCAGTTTTAAGCACATCTTAATAGACTGAAACATTTTGCCATCTTGCAAATTATTCAGTCTGGACTGCAGGCTTCCACTCTCAGTCACTATTTCCCTCATTCCTGTGCCCTCCCACCATCTTATTCCAGGAAAGCAATTGCCAATAACTTTTCTTCTTGTAAGTAGTGGTCTTGGACATTTTCTCTTCTATCTATCTATCTATCTATCTATCTATCTATCTATCTATCTATCCTGTTTCCCCGAAAATAAGACATCCCCTGATAATAAGCCCAATCGGGCTTTTGAGCGGATGCGCTAAAATAAGCCTCCCCCCCCGAAAATAAGCTGTCCCCAAAAATATTTAAACTCAGAGCTGGAAATCAGGTAAGACGGCAAGAGGAGCCCCATCTTGCTCCAAAATAATAAGACCTCCCCGAAAATAAGGCAAAGTGCTTATTTGGGGGTTAAAAAATATATAAGATAGGGTCTTATTTTTGGGGAAATTCGGAATCTATCTATCTATCTATCTATCTATCTATCTATCTATCTATCTATCTACCTATCATCTATCATCTATCATCTATCATCTATTTATCTATTAACGGGTGATGAAGTCCTTCATTTTTTGTCTTTCAGAAATAGTTGCCTATCTGTTCTGACGATAGAGCAACTGGGCAATGCTAAGAAATCCAGATCATTTCAAGTTTCCTTCAGCTCACAGAAATGCTTTGGAATAAAGAGATGAAATGCGGTCATTTTTACTATATTACAGGAGCAATACCCACCACAACCAGTGAACTATTCAAAAATTAAGAAATGGTGACTTTAAAAAATAATATTCCTGAATGTCTTCTTTAAAAAAAAAAACATTGGATGTAGGATCTTTGGCTACTAATAGATCTAATAGTGATGGTAAACCTATGATATATGTGTCAAAGGTGACATGGCACAACACATCTGCGTTCATAACATTCGACAACAACTATTCTCAAAAGCATGACCCATTTTCATGCGTTGTTTGGAGGTCATGAAGGATGTGAAAGAATGGTTTTTGTAGAGTTTTCAGAGGCTGCAGGAGAACATTCTGCGAAGTTGCTTAAGAATAAAGGCTTCAGGTGACCCAGAGCAGCTCGAGTAGGCTGCAAAAGGCTGCCTACAGGTAAACAGCATGCACTATCAGATCCCTGGGAACACTAGATTGTGAGAGCAACCAATCATGCCATTCTTCAAGGCTTATATGCCTTGAGGAAGGTTACTAGGTGGCCTTTTTGAATGGCAGCAGTGGCGCTAGGGCTGAAGTTGAGTCCCAGGGCCTCTAGTTCAGCCTCAGCCTCAGTGCTGCCACCTAGTGTTATTGTTCAGAGCCTAGGTCCTAGGAGGAAGGGAGATAGAGAATTGTTTCTCTTTTGTTTGGGGGAGGGATTGACAAACCAGCAGTGTCAAATTAGGTTTTTTTCTACATTTTTGACATACTGAATCCAAATGGTTTGCCATCTGTTGGAAAATGAATCTGGGAAATGCTAAGCCTTAACAGTGAAGAGAACTATGCACGAGTGTTTCTTTTGTACAGTCAAAACACACTGATTGAGGACTGAATTGCTTTCCTCTTTCCTATATTTCATTGCAAATCAATACTATTCACTATTGTCTTTGGAGATTCTCAGTCATCCAGGTCATGGTTGTCCCAAAAGTGCCGCCCCCCCAAGGCAACTGGACTTTTGGAAAGAGCTGAAGAAGCTTCTTGGATGAGAAGCAAGACATCCAGTTGCCCTTTGGAAAAAAGTACTTTTGGGGCTATTCACTATTGGAAAGAAAAGAGAAAACAGTAAGGAGTAACTGTGAGTATGTATATACATATTTGCATACCCATTGTGTGGGGCAGAATGGGCTAAAAGGGGACCCTTCATCATCTGTAAACTTCCCACCCTGCAAAGAGGGAAGGAATAGCATGTAAACTGACTGAATCTGCAGCATAGAAATTGTCACTTAGCATTGGAAGGATTGGTTGTGTGCCAACAAGTTGGTGTTGAATTTTAGTGGCCACGGACAGATTTGCTCCATCACACTCTTTCCCTTTATGGATTTGTGAGAATGGAACTTTCTGTAGTACCCATATTATAGTATCTGTGAAATCTGTTTTAATTCTACTTCCCACTCATTGCTGAAAAATAATGACTCTGAGGCACTTAAAGGGTATCATATTGAATCAAGTCTAGGTGAAGACTGAAACAAAAGAGAAGAGAAACTTACCTTGTATAATTTTTTCAGCAGTCGCATTGGTTGTTCCCTAAAAAAAAATATATATCAGTAGATAATTGTTAATAAACCAAGTGGAAAAAGCACTAGAAATTCACTACCCAGCAGCTCTCCTTTTGCTACACATACATGCCTCTTCTCCACAAAACATTCTTATTTATTTAACACATTACTTTGGAATTAATTTCCACCAAAAGAAAGAGAATAAAAGTTCAAAACCGAATTCTGAACAAAAGTCTGGATTCCACATGTTGCTCCCTTCTATTTCTCCAATAAGAACATAAAGAATCTTTGGGGGAAAAAAACAATCAATACAATAACAGGCAGCTGTGGCAACCACAACAGAGGTTAAATGAAGGTGAATTCACCATCTGTGCACTTATCCACAAAGTTTGGTCCTGCATTCACTTGATATATGCACAAGATCATGCATGGGATGAATTGGTCAAGATATCCTCACAAGATTCTTTAACATTCAGTCATTCTTCACTTTGATGAGTTGAATTATGACTGAGAGTATCCTGTGTTGAAACTTCTTAAGAAAGGATGGCTGGTGCCTGAAAACATTCTGCAAATGCCTCAGCAAGGGAAATTGGTGAAGGCATAAATATGGGTGAAAATAGTTTATATTTCTTAGAACTGCCTATCCCTGCCCCCCCCCCCAAATCTAGTTGCATTTGCAAGAGCAGAAAGTCAGTCTGAACGGAAGCCAGCAAAAACAGAGGAAGAGAACTCTCCTTTTTGCATGAAAACCTGTGCTACTATGGTTCTATTAGAAATGTGATAAAAACAGAAACCTCCTAATACTGTATATCCTGATCTCATGCTCAGCCTACATTTGCATGGAAATAAATCTTAAATCACAGAAACTCATGAATAATAATAATTAATTAATAAGAATTGTTATCATTAGTTTAGGTATGAATTTATATTATTATGTTATTATTATTGTTTTTATTATATTGTATCAGGACAATCAGGGATTAGCTGTAAAAAAAGCAAGTTGTGCTTCTCATTGGAAATTACATATAATCCCGTCTATAGAATAATGGCAAATTAAGTTGTGGGAGATGTAAAAAAGGACATATTTGAAAAACAAATCTAATATAGAATTCAATTCAGCATGGAAACCATTCCTAGGTTATATGGCTTGCAACACATCTGAAGTTTGAATCTCTGTCAACATAAGGTTTTAACCCCAAACCAGAATAAAAGAACACCCACCCCCCATTTTTGCATTTTAATAATCCAGAAGTGTGCAAAAAAAAAAATTAAGAGAGAATTCTAGGATAAGAAGCCAACTGCATATTAGCGCTACAGTGGCTGGGCTCACAAATCAGGCTAATTCACAATCAATTGTGATTTATGAGTATAAACCCTTAGTGGGTTTGGTTCACACATTTTGTTTAGCTATCTGCAATGATTTAGAAAGCACGCAATGGCTCTTTGTAGAACATGCTACCGAAATCAGGCAAGCTATTGATCTGGCTTGGAGGAATATATGACCAGCCTCTGTCATTTTTTCCTTAAGAAAAAAAGGGAAAATAGTTGTAAAATATAGAAAGATTCCAAATAGGAGATACTCTGCTGACTTATTTGTAAAATTCTCCGAAAGTGGCAAGGTTATTGTTTATTGCCACGTTATTGCCCTTTGTATTTCCATCTCATACAAGGTACATTAGAAGAGACTAAAAATAGCAGTGCCATATACTAATTATTGGTCTCGTGCTTAAGGTAAAGGTAAAGGTTCCCCTCGCACATATGTGCTAATCGTTCCTGACTCTAGGGGCGGTACTCATCTCCGTTTTAAAGCCAAAGAGCCAGTGCTCCCCAAAGACATCTCCGTGGTCATGTGGCCGGCATGACTAAATGCCAAAGATGCATGGAGCACTATTACCTTCCCACCAAAGGTGGTCCCTATTTTTCTACGTGCATTTTTTACGTGCTTTCAAAATGCTAGATTGGCAGAAGCTGGGACAAGTAACAGGAGCTCACCCCGTTATGCGGCAATAGGAATCTCATGCTTAGATCAGATTAATTGAATAGCTTTTAAAAGCTCCATTGTTTTCAATGACCTTTGAAATCTAGATCCTGCTGTTCAACTGACTTGCTGGAAGAGCCCTTCTCTCTGTCTCCCACCAATAATTTTTGCATTTTGAAAGCTACTTTGACCATTGTCAGTACAACCCTCTAATATATCATACCTAAGAAATTACTATTCTCTTTTCTCCAACATACCACACATATTCCTGCACACATACAAGAGCACACACCTAGTATGTGGAGCCAACCCCACTGAGAAACAATAGCAAAACTGTCCTGGTTTCAACTGTAGAGAAACCAAATACTACTACACCAAGGACACATGGTCCAGCATATTCATTGACTAGGTTCCTCCTCCAACTCCCTGGCCTCTTCTTCCTGTCCCACTAGAATCTCATTCTCACCACGCTTTATCACTCTCTATGACCTGTTCCATTGCTGTATCCAGTTCCTTGCGAAAGGAAATCAGGAGATAGGCTTGGATGGTTAAGCCGCTCAGCATCAGCAGCACCAGGAATCCCAAGAACAGCTGACCAGCTTGCCATTTCTTCGGACTCCTCCGTCTGGGTGGCACAAAGGGAACATCCCTTAGTGTTGGATCCACAACAAAAACAGAGGGGTACCCTGCAGCCGCTTCCATCATGTATCCTTCAGTGGAAGTGTGGAAGGAACTGCAGAACCCAGAGGCGTGCTGCTTATCTACAGACTGAGTCTTGTACATGAGAGAGAGAGAGAAAGCATGCAACGCCCACAACCCCTGGGGAGGAAACCACAAGGTTACTCAACTGTCCTTTATACATGCACTGGCCATGTTTGACTTGGTGGGCTGGGACTTCCTTGAGGGAAACTACTTTTCTTGTCTTTTCCTGGGTGGGTACATCAGGTTTTTGGTTTGAACACTGACATTTTGCACTTCCCACCTATTGCCATGAAGGGAAAGATGTGTGTAACTGGGAGTAGGGCTGTCCTTCCTCTGTTCAGGATTGCTGTCTGCTCCCAACTCATGACCAGTGAAAACTGAACCCAAAGTCCACGAAAAGAGAAGCCCTTGGACTACAGGTAGGTGGAAAGAAGTGTTGGGGGTGAGCAACTTACTCACTATGTAAGAAAATGTGGTTAGCTAGACAATAGATAACTCTCTCCTTTTAAAGTCCATAAACTAATAGATTTTTTAAAATGTATTTTTGTGATAGAGGTGAATGCTTTGGTGAGAACTCTGAATGAAAAGGACAGCAAATGAAACACCACAAGCAAGCATTGCTTCTTGAAAATATTTCTCTTCTTATCATGCAGATGGATAGGGAGTATTTAAATCCAACATGTAGATAATTTAGTAGAAAGGACAAGCCTCTGTTCTTGCCAGCCTTTGGCACTCTTCAGAATTATTGGAAATACAACCCCAAAATTCCCTAGCAAAATGGGTTACACTATGGGCAGGAATCAATAATACGGCACTTCTCTCCCTTCTTTGTACAGTATGTAACTTCCATACATGAGTGACATCTGCAAAGGAATCCATCAGACTATTGCATTCCAGGAAGTCCTGGGTGGTAATATACACTTCCTCTTTTCAGCTAAAATTAAACTGATTGCTCGGGTGGAATAATGCTCCTTAGTCCCTTTGAATAGGTCAACTTCTATTGGTATGACTGAAAGTTTCACATGACTGTGGTCCTCTTTTCTCCGATGAACTGTCCCTGATCTCTCCCTGGGGACACAATTGAGGAGTCCCCACCCACTGAATAATATCTGCTGACAGTGTTAAATGCAGTCACAAGCAAATCCAAGCATAGTCTGTGTTTGTGGGCTTGACAACACAGAACAATACATCTGGGATCCACTTTCCTTCTTTCTTCAGCCTTCTTTCCCTCTGACCTTCCTCCCATGAGGAATCATTTCCCCCAATTGCTCTCAGAGGCAAATGTATAAAAGAATAGTTCCCTTTGTTGGTTTGTGTCATGAAAATAGGAAGCCTGCAGATCTTATAGATCCTCTCTCTTTCTTCAGCTGCTGACGCAATGGCAAATGCTGGATTTTCCAATATTATATCAGTCTTAGTTTCATTAATTTAGGGAAGAGAAATGAACTTGGGGAAGCTTTCACCAAGTCAGTGTCATCCATAGGCCTTGGGTTTATGAATCAAAATTTTGACATATTTAGATGGGCCTAGGTTGTGGAAGGCTGCCCAGCGAAGGACTTCCAAATGAGATGCATATTGAAAGCAAGGCCGCTTGTTCATCAAACTCATATTGGGATTGGCTTTGAATAGCTTTGGTCTGCTGCCTCATGAGTGGCTGGTACAAGGAGGGAGGCAACCGCTTGAGTAAGCTTGGTGCTGAACAAAAGAGGAAGTTCACATAATGATTTGAAATAATCGCTCTTTGAAGTCCACAGCTGGACAATTTTGTTTTCATCATCACCTGCTTGAACTGAACTTTTAAGTAATTTTTCCCTGATGGAAATATTAATTTTATTTTGTCTTTCAGAGAGTTAGCATGTTCATGCTGAAGTGCTGTCCCCCAGCGTAAATTGCACTGTCCCCATTGCCTCCCTTTTCTTCAAATCTACCATTGTATTAAATGTCTCCATAAATGAATCTACATTAGGATGATCAAAATATAGCTCCCACCACCACATGCACATCAATTAATCCCTTCCCAAAGGCCTCCATTTCATTTTTATGCAACCCATCATTGCCTTTCTAGCCCTTTCCACCTCAATATCTGATTATTCTCATGGGCTTCATTTGTATATTATTGACTATGAAATTTATTATTATTTATTTATTTATTATATTTCTGTACCGCCTTTCTCCCATAGGACTCAAGGCGGTGTACAGTCAAGAAAAATATAGATACACAAACATCATAAAATTGCTAATTAAAATTATTATTATAACATAGTTTGGCCCAATTAAATAGAACCTAAAATTAGATAACATTTTAAAAACATTCACATGTTCATATGTTTAGCCCCGCTTGTTGGAACATCAGGGTTTTGAGGACACGGTGGAAAGCATGGAGATCAGGGATATTTCGTATCTCAGGGGGCAGTTCATTCCAAAGGGTTGGAGCCCTCACAGAGAAGGCCCTCCCCCTGGGAGTCGCCAGTCGGCATAATTTGACTGACGGTACCCTGAGTAGTCCCTCCCTGTGAGAACGAACTGGTCAGTGGGAGGCTATTGGTGGCAAAAGACGGTCTCGTAGGTACCCAGGTCCTAAGCCATGGAGCGCTTTAAAGGTGATAACTAACACCTTGAATCGCACCCGGAAGACCACCAGGAGCCAGTGCAGCTCGCGTAGGAGAGGTGTTACATGGGCGCAACGAGCTGCGCCCATAATCATCTGCACGGCTACATTCTGGACCAGTTGGAGCCTCCGGGTGCTTTTCAAGGGGAGCCCCATGTAGAGAGCATTACAGTAGTCCATACGGGAGGTGACTAGGGCATGGTGACTGTGCGCAAGGCGTCCCGATCCAGAAAGGAACGCAACTGGCGGATCAGGCGAACCTGATAAAAGGCACCTTTGGCCACGGCCATCAAATGATCTTCTAAAGATAGCCGTGAATCCAGGAGGACACCCAAGTTGCGGGCCCTCTCTGTGGGGAGCAAGATCTCATCCCCAATTGTCAGTGATGGTACCAGCTGACTATACCGGGACACCAGAAGCCACAGCCACTCGGTCTTGGAGGGGTTGAGTCTGAGCTTGTTTCTCCCCATCCAGACCCGCATGGCCTCCAGGCAATGGACATCACAGCAAGGGCATCATTGGGGTGGTCTGGGGTGGAGATGTATAGCTGTGTGTCATCAGCATACTGATGAACACTCACCCCGAAACCACGGATGATCTCGCCTAGCAGTTTTATATAAATGTTGAACAGAAGGGGTGAGATGACTGACCCTTGCGGCACCCCACAAATAAGGTGCCTTGAGGTCGACCTCTGCCCCCCTGCCAACACAAACTGCGAACGGTCAGAGAGGAAGGAGGAGAACCACCGAAGCACGGTGCCCCCTATTCCTAACCCCTCCAAGCATTGATAGAAAAAATGGCCAAGATAGAAATGGCCAAGCATTGATAGAAAATGATTTCCCCCACAAAGGATTTTTGTTGGAAGGCGATGGGGGGGGGAGAGGAGCACGGACTATTTTTTCCTAGCTAGAACATTTTAAATATAGCACTTCCTCACATAGTTCTCTTGGTTAATCATCTGTGGCTCTCAGCAAACTATTCAGGCTTGTGCAGTTAAAACATGATTCATACTTGTAATCATACATGAGGACTGGAACAATGAGGACGTAGCTGATGTGTGTGGGGGCAGCAGTCCAGACCTCATGATTGGAATATTATGCTATATTTAAGGGTAGTGTGGAGGAGGGACACAGACAGCTTCTATCTAATTACACCAAAAGAACATAATCTTCTGGCTCAAAGAAGAACAGAAATTTGACTGGCCGGCACTTGCCATTTACATAATCTGTATTAGATGATATTCTACAGAATTACAGTTTAAGCCAATTGTACTAATCCTACTAAACAAGATCTTATGTCTGTTCCAAAGTGACAATCTTTGTCTCCTGCATAAGCATCACAGTTTTTTAGAATAGTAATGTTACTAAAAATTGTACTTACATAAGTAAAAAGTGATACAAGCTAAAAAAATATAAAACAGAAAGAAAGGGGCAGAAAAGAAAAATAGAAAAGAAAAAAAGTAAGAATATAGTATATTCTTGCTCCATCAGGAAGCGCGGGAGGACCCCTTGGAGGGTAGAGCCGAGGATTTTGTTCAGTATCTGTATGACAAAATCACTCAGATTCGGGAAGATTTGGACTCCGACTGGGTAGTCTCAGGGGGAGAGACAGGGGCAGGTCTTGAGAATGTTATCTGGGATGAGTTTGATCCTGAGACCCCTGAGGACGTGGACAGGATTCTGGGTAGACTGAACGTGACCATTTGTTTATTGGACCCGTGTCCTTCATGGTTAGTACTGGCTTCCCGGGAAGTGACATGAGGCTGGCTCCAGGGGATTATAAACGCTTCGCTGGGTGAGGGTGACTTTCCTGCCGCCTTGAAAGAGGCGGTGGTGAGGTCTCTCCTCAAGAAGCCTTCCCTGGACCCGGCAATGTTGGTAAATTATCGTCCGGTCTCCAACCTTCGCTTTGTGGCGAAGATTGTTGAGAGTGTGGTCGCACAACAGCTCCCCCAGCACCTGGATGAAACGACGTATCTGGATCCGTTCCAGTCGGGATTCAGGCCCGGGTACAGCACGGAAACGGCATTGGTCGCATTGGTTGATGATCTCTGGAGGGCTCGGGACAGGGGGTGCTCCTCTGTCCTGGTCCTGTTAGATCTCTCAGCGGCTTTTGATACCATCGACCATAGTATCATGCTGCACCGGTTGGAAGAGTTAGGGGTGGGAGGCACTGTGTTGCGGTGGTTCTCCTCCTTTCTCTCTGACTGGTCACAGTCTGTGTTGACAGGGGGACAGAGGTTGACCCCGAGGCCCCTCATATGTGGGGTCCCGCAAGGGTCTGTCCTCTCGCCTCTCCTGTTCAACATTTATGTGAAGCCGCTGGGCGAGATCATCCGTGGTTTCAGGGTGGAGTACCATCAGTACGCTGACGACACCCAGCTGTACATCTCCACCCCAGATCATCCCAACGATGCCCTTGAAGTGATGTCCCGGTGCCTGGAGGCCGTACGGATCTGGATGGGGAGGAACAGGCTCAGGCTCAACCCATCCAAGACCGAGTGGCTGTGGTTTCCGACGTCCAGATATAGTCAGTTGACGCCATCACTGACTATTGGGGGCGAATCATTGGCCCCCACGGAGAGGGCTTGCAACTTGGGCGTCCTCCTGGATTCACGGCTGTCTTTAGAAGAGCACTTGACAGCGGTGACCAGGAGGATTTTTCATCAGGTTCGCCTGATTTGCCAGTTGCGTCCCTTTCTGGATCGGGACTCGTTACGCATGGTCACTCATGCCCTTGTCACCTCCTGCCTGGACTATTGCAACGCTCTCTACATGGGGCTCCCCTTGAAAAGCACCCGGAGGCTCCAAC